ATAGTCTACTGCAGTTGAAGTCCCAAACCCAGTGGCTTAAAACTCATGCTGGTCGCATGTGCATGTGTGCCCAAAATCCTGAAAGGAAAATGCAGGAGAAGGGATTGCAGCATGGCCATCCCCCCAGAGAGTAATTTCTTGCTTTCTGTTTCTCTCTGTCCATTGGTGAGCACAGGCACCCTATAGCAAAAATCTCTTAAAAAAAAAAATGAGCTGCTAAGATTAAATTGTGAATTGGAACATTTATTAGTTAAAAAAAAAGGTTTCTGCATAAATTAATAATGATTCTTTGCTTGGTCCATAGTGCTACCTGAATATGGAGTGGGAATTACTTATGAAGATATTTACAGCTTCTACTGCAGTATAATTGGTGCCTGTTTGAACATTTCATTAATATTTAATTTTGCATCATTTCTTGAACTAATTTATTGGCACATTTTTAGCATTCCGCTGAGAGACAACATAAATCACGTTAATAATAAATGGCACAGTAGCGTTTTATGTTTCTTTTCTGAGTTATCATTTAAAGATAATTTTCTGTGACAGGGAATTCTACATGTACTATTGAAGAGAAGATTGTTTTAAATGTCTGCTTCAGCAACTGACAGGAAATACAATATGATTTTAATTGTATTTATGTCTTGGGCTTTGAAACGGTGCCTTCTGTTATTAACTCGTATCAAGTGTTCATAAAGCGTTTTCGGCCATCCATGAAAAAACAGGGTTGAGGATGGGTGATGGTGCAAGAGCGTGACATGAGGCCCTGGGAGGCTGACCCACATGGAAAGTCATGTCTGGAGGCCTCTCTGGGCATGCCAGGAGTGCAGGTGCCCGTGATCCAGGGCTGGTTGGAGCCGGGAGTGGATCATGGCATCGAGAACCTGTTGAGGATGTTGTTTTTCTCTCTCGCTTTATCCCACTATCTTTCTCATTCATGAAATATAAATCAATAAATAAATAAACAATTTTTCCCTTAAGTTTTTGCCATAGGGCATGTGCACTTTCCAGAGAGAGACAGTGAGAGGGAAACCGAGAAATCACCCCCCAGGGGAATGGCCATGCCGCAATCCCTTCTCCTACATTCTCTTCTAAGGATTTGGGGTGTGCACACACATTCACCCTGCCTGAGTTTTAAGCCACTGTATCAGGGACTTGAACCAAGGTCGACTCTGTGGGAGTCCAGCTACATAACCATTACACCATCTGATGGTCCCAAGAAAATAAACTTTTAAAATAGTTTAAAAAGGAGCCAGCAAGGGGCTGGCAGGTGGCATGATGGTTACAGTGCTGGGCTCCCAAATAGTTGACCCTAGTTCAAGTCCTGGACCTGGCAGCTTACTTTCTCATTCTCCCTCTCTCTATTTCTCTCCAGTCAAATTGAAGAAGAATAATAAATTAAAAAAAAAAAAGGGACCAGCAGTTAGTGTAATAGCTACGTCACTGAACTCCCATGTAGTTGACCGTGGTTCAAGTCCTAGACCCGGAGGCTTAAACTCATGCTGGGCACACGTGCATGTATGCCCAAGATCCTGAGAGGAGAATGGAGGAGAAGGGATTGCGGTGTGGCCATCCCACTGGGGGGTGATTTTTCGCTTTCTCTCTCTCTCTCTCTCTGTCTTTCTGGTGAGTGCACATGCCCTATGCAAAAACCTCTCAAAAAAAAAATAAAATAAAAAAGGGAGCCAGCAGATGACATGCTGGTTAAGTCACTGGACTCCCATATGGCCAACCATGGTTCAAGTCCCAGACCTGGCAATGGAGAATCACACTGGACACGTGTGTGTTGCATGCCCAGAGAATGGAGGAGAAGGGATTATAGCATGTCCATCTACCCTGGGACATGATTTCTCAGTCACCCTCGCCCCCTCGGTGTTTTTCTAGCAAGTACACACACCCTATTGCAAAAACTGAAAGAAAAAAAGTTTAAGAGGAGCAGCTGGTAGTGTGGTGGTTAGGACAGTTGGGTCCCTCATGGCCAGATGTGTGGTTCAAGTCCCAGACCTGGCATTAGAAACATGCCAAGCACCTGTGAGTGTGTACCCAAAATACAGAAAAGAAGAGAGAGATGGAGGAGAAGGGAGTGCAAGGTGACCACCCCACATGGGAGGAAGGGTACTTTCTCACTTTCTCTCTCTCACTCTCTTTGTATCTCTCCAGTGAATGCACACACCAACTGGAACAATTAGGAAAGAAAAATAATTAAGATTCTTAAAAACATTATGGCAAGGGACCAGCAGGTGTAGTGGTTAAAGTGCTAGACTCCCACATGGTCAACTGCGGTTTGAGTCCTGGACCTGGTGACTTGAAACTCAATCCAGGTGCATGTGTGTGTGTCCAGGATCCCGAGAGGAGAATGGAGGAGAAGGGACTATGGCATGGCCATCTCCCTGGAGGGTGATTTCTTGCTTTCCATCTCTCTGTCCCTCTGGTGAGTACATGTGCCTTACAGTAAAAATCTGTCCAAAAAAAATTATGGCAAAGCACATGGATACTAAGTTAAATGCAAAAATTATGCTTCAGGGGCCCACATGGGAAATATCCTGGGTTCACAGCCCAGAGTGCCCGGAGTGCTGAGCGTGTGCTCACATGTCTGGGATCTAGGGCACTGGGACTGGGATTGGTCTTGGCGTGAAGACTCTACTGGGGGAGAGTGCCTGGATCTCTCTTTCTTTCTGTCTCTCTGCAGGAATAAATAAAGTTAGAAATAAAAAATAAAAGCTATACAATATATTTTAAATGACCCTCTAGTCCCCTTCATTGCTTCTAGAATGGTCAGGATTCTTCTTATTGAAAGTGACAGGAAAGAACCAAATGGCGGCCCAGCGGTAAAACGCAACATTCTGGAAGGCTGACCCACGTGAAGGGTTCAGGGTTTGCTTCAGGAACCCCCTGAGTTCTCTAAGCCCTCGCGTGCCCCTGAATTGGGGCAGGCTGAGGCTGGGGGGTAGATCACAGTGTCAAGATCCTGTTGGGGAATGCTGTCTCTCTGTCTCCTCACTGTCTCTGTCTCCTCACCCTCAGAAGGAATACATAAACTGTAAGGAAAAGAAGAAAGAAAAAGTCAGAAAACCGGCATAGTGCAAAGGGATTTTAAAAAAAAATTAAAGTCTGTTTCATTACAAAGTAAGGAGTATTCTTCCTTCCCTCCTCTGCATCCCATTCCCCCTTCCAAGGGGACTCTTGAAGGCTGGGGTAACTCTTGGCTGTGTGTGTGCATCGGCTTTCCTCTGGCAGGAGCACCCCTTCTTCCAGGGCAAGTGCACCCAGCCTCCAGTGATCCTGGAAGGGTTGGGAGTGCGGTCAGTTAGTGCCCCTCCTGCCCCTCAGCTAGAGCCCAGCACCTGTTTTCCTGTTCTGACAGCTGCTGCCTCCCTCCACCCCCTTCCTTGAGTCTGAGAAGTCACAGCTGCTCCCTGAAACCAGAAGGAGCAGACCCCCCAGCAGCCCAGTTCCCACGCACTCAGAGGAAACCCCAGCTCACCTGGGCAGGCTCGTCTCTTCAGAGCCTCTCTGCTCCAGGCTCACCAGCCTCTCTGCATGTGCGCCTCCCTGTAGGATGGTTCATGCCCAGCTGGATACCGAGCTGGGGCTCAGCTCAGGTCTTTATTCCAGATTCAAAGGTGCCAAGGTTGGTAGCCTTAACATTCTGGAAGCACTTTGGGAAATGAGGACATTTACCCCTGTACAATCTCTCTCTCTGGTTTTTTTGTTTTTTGTTTTTTGTTTTTTTTCAGAGAGAGTTTTTTTGTTATAGGTATGTGTGCTCCCTGGAGAGACAGAGAGAGACAGAGAGACAGAAAGCAAAAAATCATCCCCTGGGGAGATAGCTACGCTGCAATCCCTTTTCCATTCTCCTCTCGGGGTTTTGGGCACGCACGTATCCACACTCAACATGAGTATTAAGCAGCTGGGTCCAAGACTTGAACTACGGTCTCCTACGGGGAGTCTAGTGACATGACTATTAAGTCATCTGCTGGTCTCACCCCTGTACAGTCTCTTGATGTGGCTTCTGTTTTCATAAAAATGTGAAGAAGTTTCCAGAGGCCCCCTGGGGTGACTGCTAGCCGTCTGGGGTGGTGCCCCTCTGGACAGAGACTGGGCGCGCCCCTGAGCAGCTCCTGGTCACGCTCCTCCTCCTCCCTTCCTAGGCATGCTGGAAGTGCCCCTGGCGGCTTTCCCTCCTCCTTTGCTTTTATTTTTCCTCCATTTTTAAACTTTAGGTGCAGAAATTTGAGTTAATCATAATGCCTTCTTAGTTCACAGCATTTGATCATAACCAGTCTGTGCAAAGCTCTTGTTTGTAATTATTTATTCTGTTTTATCCACATATTCCTTCTGCAGTCCCCACCCTTCCCCGCCATAGGCACATATTCTGTGACTCTTTTTTCTTTTAATCACCAGAGGATGTGTGTGCTCACTGGAGAGAGAGAGGAAGGCAGAAAACATCCCTCTGCAGGGTGTAGTTGCCCTGCAATCCCTTCTCCTCCATTTCCTGGTCCCACTGGGCTCTTCAGTGTACACACACACACTTGGCATGTCCTCCAAGCAGCAGGGGCCAGGATTCAAATTGCAGTTGGCCATGTGGGGTCCAGCTCACTTAACCACTAGGCTACGGGGCCAGCCCACATCTTTTGTTTGCATGTGTTTTTGTAAAAAGTATGCCTAGGGACCAACAGGCATAATGGTTACGTCATTGGACTTCCATGTAGTTGACCATGGTTTGAGTCCTAGACCCGAGGCTTAAAATTCATGCTGGGCCCATGTGTGTGCATGCCCAAGACCCCGAGAGGAGGATGGAGGAGAAGGGCCATCCCCCTCCAGGGGGTGATTTCTTGCTTTCTGTTTCTCTGTCTTTGTCTCTCTGGAGAGCAAAAATCTCTAAAAAAATATATATATATACCTGTTTCATGTGTGTATTCTTCTCCATGCATACATGTTAGATGTTCACAAATGACATAGGGTCAGGTAGCTGTCTATGTCCTGTTTGTCTCACTTCGTACTACGTTTCCGGAATCCATGGACGTGTGCTGGCCCATCGCTTCTGACTCTGCCGAATACTCCATGGTGCGCACTGAGTACTCTCCATTTGTGCTGTGCTCTGGGGACTGCATCGTTTTTCTCTTTTTAGAATTATTTTATTTAACTTTATTTATTTAATTAATTAATTTATTTTAATTTGGTCAGAGAGGGACAGAGAGAGAAAGAGAGAGAGAGAAAGTGAGTAAGCAAGTCGCCAAATCCAGGACTCAAACCAGGGTCAGCCACGTGGGAGTCCAGTGCCCTTTAACCCCATCATCTGCCAGCCTCTGGGAACTGCTCTGTATTTTATGGCTTCCGGTTGGGTTTGCTCTTTGGGAGGCACCATCAGGAAACGGAGGGTGGGTGGAGAGTGAGGTCGGGATGTTTATTTGATTGGCTGGGCTGGAGGCGGCAGCGGCCACATTGGTCTACCAAGGGCCATGGCTCCCCCACAGACCACGACCACCTGGTAACCACCCCCTGCCCTTGGCCGTCACTCCCAGAGGAGGTAAGCGCGCCTGGGGTGCTTCTGAGAGTCCCTGGTCGGCATATTTGAACACCGCCTCCGCCTGTTATGTTATTGCGTCATCAAACTGAGGACAAAGTCCTGACTCTTGTTATTTCAAAATTGTTTCTAAAGGAGCCAGGAGGTCACAGCTGCAGATGCTCATCTCGCTAAAGCAGACCACTTTGGTCTAGTGATTCTGAGGTGCTCCCCCACGGGCCCTGGCGGGGCATCACCTGGGGCCTAGGAAAGCTGTCTTCCCTCTGTTAAACTCATGCATCCTTTCCTTCCAACTGGGTCTTTGTGAGACGAAGACTGTGCTTGTAACCAGTCACAAACCCAAGGATTTGTAAACCCACTGTAACCCGTAAGCTTCTGTTTCTGAATAGCCCACCTTTCTGGGCCAGGCCCATATGGAAACTCCAAAAGGAAAGAGAGGGGAAGACAGGGGAGTTGGACTTTGGTCTCCTGCTTTCAGGATTAAATAAAAGAGTTCCCGGTTCCAAAGCCCCAGAACACTTCCTCAGGGCTCTCAGAGGCTGTGTTTTGGGGCCAGGGCCACTCAGGCTGTCTATGAACAAAACTTTCCAGGTGTTTTTACAGACTTCAGTCGTTTCTGTGGACCCCTGGGCTCCCCTGTAGAATCAGACTCCTGTGTAATTTAGCGTCCGTTCCCTTCTCTCTACCCACCAGCGGAGACTCATGCATTGCTACCCCCCAACCCCCAATGTCTCTGAGACAGACCCTCACCCTTCCCTTTTACTGCGAGCCCTTTCCTTTCCAGTGTGAGGTGTGTACCCCAATTTGGGAAGCTACAGCAGCGGGGACAGTAGTTCTTCCTTTTTGTTTCTTTCTGTTTGTTTTTTTCCTGAGGGAGATTTTTGCTATAGGGCACTTGTGCTTGCCAGAGAGATAGAGAGAGAGAAAAAGGAGAAAGGTGGCCATCCCTTTTCCTCCATTCTCCTCTTGGGATTTTGGTCAAATCTCCCTCCCCCCATATCTACCCCTGAATTCCTTCTCTGTTCTCTCTAGCATGCATACACACACATGCACCTGGTGTGAGTTTCAAGCCTGTGGGTCTGGGACTCAAACCGCAGTTGGCCATGTGGGAATTCAGTGATGTAACATTACACCATCCACTGATTCCCCCTTGTCTTTCTAGCCAGTTAACTCAGTGGTTCCTCTCAGCCAGGGGTGATCTGACCCCCAGGGGACATTTGGCAATGTCTGGAGAGAGAGACAGAGAGAGAGAGAGAGAAAGAGAGAGAGAGAAAGTAAAAACACACTCCCTAGAAGGGATGGCCACACTACACTCCCTTCTCCTCCATTTTCTTGGGATTTTGGGCACGCATGCACACCCCCCCAGTGTATTTTTCAGGATGCCACGCCTGGGACTTGAACTGTGCAGTCAGCCATGTGGGATCTAGCTGCCTTAACCACCACCAGCTTTATATTTTTTTATGGAGAGGCAAGGGGAGAGCTTTTGAGATCTTGCTTCACGCATCCTGATAAAAGAAGCTTTGTTAGAGCAAGCTCTGGCTTCTTTCCACCTCCTTCTCTCCTCCCATGCAGGAGGTGTGACATCTCTGATCGCCAAGTTTCTGAGTGTTGAGAGAGTAGCCAGGTAGGCCTTCTCAGCCCCTCCTCTTCTGTCTGGGAGCCTGGTGCCCCGAGAAACCCACATATGCCCAATCCAGAGAGCATGCAGGCCATCCCTGCAGGGCGGCCTAGTGATGGAAGAACTTTCTCACTCCCTTTCTCCCAGCTCCATCCTTGAACTCCAGCCGGGGCAGGGAAGCCTCTGTTGGCAGTGAAGGAGAGGAGGACTGAGTGGGCTCTGCAGGGCGGGCTCTCAGGAAGCAGGCACTGAGGGGGAGCTTGGCCTGGGAGAGATTTACCAGGGAGCCTCACGGAGTGGGATCAGGAGTAGGCAGGGGCCCAGGCGAGGTGCTATGACTCTTCTGACTGATAGGGTCACCTAAGGATACAGAGATATGAGTCAGGAGGGAGAGGGGGGTGTCATGTCGGGTGTGCTCCTGCTAAGCCTCTCTGTCCTCCATTCTTGTTAGGACAACAGAGGAAGGAAAGTTATTCTTTTAGAGAATCAGGAAAAAAGAAGGGATTTCCTGAACGTGTTGGTACCAGTATCCACTAGAAGGTCATCGGCTAAATGACGCAGAGGCTGGACAGAACACCTTGGGATCTGGAAGAGTGCAGTTACCGGAGCACACATCCATCTAACAGCCTCCTGTTGTTTGCAAGCGGGAAGGCCACACTCCCTGGGCATGCATTCATTCATTCAGTCAGAGCCCGTAGATCCAAGGTGTTCTGGAAGCATGGCGTTTCTGTTGTTCTCTAACAAGGTGTGATGTCTTGGGGGGCCTTGGTCAAGGATGCGCTTAGGCATATGAATGGACTAAACAGTACATTTGAGCATTCAACAATTCACAGCTAGGCAGCACCAGATTGTATGCTCCGCCCAGAGTAGGAGGGGGAAATGTTAACATCTTTTGGCAGAAGCTAGATAAAGTAATCAGTTGATTATTTGAGAGGAAAGTCCCTGGAGCCAGCGGGCGGCGTGGTGGTTAAGGCGTTGTATTCCCACATGGCCAGCCGTGGTGCGAGTCCTGGACCTAGGGCTTGCTTTCTCACGTTCTCTCGCTCTCTGGCAAATGTATGTGCCCTATATCAAATTAAATAATAATAATGATTTTTTAAAAAGCGGGCCATCCTGAGAAGTTATTTGGGGGTTTCAGATTGGGTAATGCAGGTTTACACTGAGCAGGGTTTTAGTTTGCTTATGTAAGACTCAAGGTCCCAGAGCATTCAGGGCTAAATGATCTCCTAGTTAATAATAATAATAATAATAATAATAATAATTTTA